CTCTCTCTCTCTCTCTCTCTCTCTCTCTCTCTCTCTCTCTCTCTCTCTCTCTCTCTCTCTCTCTCTCTCTCTCTCTCCGCGTCTGTCTCTCTCTCCCTCTCTCTCTCTCTAGTGTGAGCGGTGAACGGTTTGCCGCCATGGCTTCCATCCACACCTACTCATCGATGTTGCGGATCTCGCCACGGAGACCCGGGCGGTCGTGCAAGGGAGGATCCGGCCAGACCCGGAAATCCGCGGGAACAGTCATGAGGTCGTCGTGCTCGTTCGCGATGTTGGACATCAGGAGGTCGACGATGTCATCGAGAACGTCTACTCCTCCTTCCCACCGGTCGGGGATCGCGCGGCCGACTTTCGTTGTGTAGCCAACCACCTCGCGCAGCATGTCATCCACATATCCCAACGCGACGACGACGTTGAGAATCGTGTCACCGTTCGCGTCCACCTCGTAATGCCCCACTTCCTGTCCAGTGACCTCGCCCACAAAATCAAACAACCTGCCGTCCTTCTCTCCTTGACGATGCCTCATCTCGTAAAAAGTTATGGTACGACCGAGGACACGACCTCTGAGCGCCATCTGGATGTCCATTGATTCGCAGCGCCGCACCCCCACACAGTTACGATGTCCGATGTCGACTTCCGTAACGACAACCCCTCGATGACCGCCACGTGCGATTTCACTATTGCCACTTTGTTTCGCTTTGAACAAGAGTGCGCAATTCACCATCCTCCGTCCCCCGTATCCGCTTCCCCACCACCAGCCTCGGCGCACATATGACCTCGCACTTTATGCACGTCAGCTCCCACGAACGATCTCTCACGTTGGCGTGGGAAACACGATGCCATGACCTTTATTAAGTTTCGTCGGCATCGTCGTGCGCCCTGAGTTGATCGTCGAGATGAACCGCGTCATTTCGGCGCAGGGGCCAGATCCTATCAACCCCTCCCTCCCCCACACCAACCCGTCCCCCACACCGACCCCTCCGCCCCTGCCTCCAAACGACCCGCCCCATCGGTGATGCGACACACGAAGCTAACACCATGGATGGGTTGCTTATCCCCACCCCTCTAGGACTTCATCCAACCTAAAAACCACGGGTTGCGACCACCCGCGACGACTGCAAACGAACGGTCGATGAGAGCAGAAAAAAAAAAAAAAAAAAAAAAAAAAAAAAAAAAAAAAAAAAAAAAAAAAAAAAAACAAAAAAAAAAAAAAAAAAAAAAAAAAAATCTTCGAGATATAGAGACAGAAATTGTTCAACAAAGAATCATGTGAAATGACCCTATACAAGCTAATGCACAGGTTCAAAAGCCAGTGGTCGGCATCGTTGCGAATCGTGAATGACAACGTCATGAAAAACGCAGCAAAAAAAACAAAAAACCAAAAATGAAAAAAGAATGGAGGGGCGTAAACTATCGTTGAAATGACACCCCGCGCACCGCCCGTGCAAGCGCACCAGCCTGGTTGTTGGGGTTTGCTGTCCCGTCACAACCTCGCAATCAATCCCTGGCCAATGCCGACACAATCTTAAGCAGAGCTTCGCACAACATCCGTTGCCCGACGTTGAGAACTTCGCATTGCCTCTCCTGTGTTCTCGCCTCCCTCTCCATTATGTCGCACTGTCGTTGGAGCACGTCGCACTGCCGCTTACTCGCGCGGTCTACGGACTCCGCGACAACGGTGGAGTGCGTTTTCATCACATCCGTCACCGCCTCGAAAGCCAGTTGCCTGGCGTTCTTTCGCTTGCCTTGAATGTCGTTTGAAGACGACCTTCTGCCACACCCGTCCCCCGTATCCGCTCCCCTGTTCTCGCTCGCCGAAGTGTCTGCTTCCCCACCACCCGCTGCCGCTTGGCTTTGCTCACCTTGTTGTGACTGTTGTCCTTGTGCGTTGCCGGTGTCCACGAGATTCAGCGGGTGGACGGCCTGGTTGTTCCCCTGCATGATGTGGATCGCGTCGTATAGAGTGCGGTCTAGATTGAACTTGTACCCTTTCTCCTTCCGTGCTTTCGTTGTCATGAGGAAGTACGATTGCAGTCCCGAATCCTTCTCCCTGTCCCACACTTTCCTGTACCACCTGAATATGTTCTCCCATCTCTTCATGCATTGCTCCCCGTCTCGCCGAACTCCTTCCTTCTCCATCCGCTTTGCGATGTCCATCCACTTCTGGTCCTTCGTTTTCATTCTGGAGAAATTGGTTCCCGCATTAGCGAAGTAGTCGTCTTGGTCTCTCTTGCACTGGACAAGAACGAGGGATTCGTTCAAACTCCAGTTCCCCCGCGCTCCGCTCCCGCCACCCTCGTCGTTCGTATCACCTTCCTTATCCTTACCCTTCGCTTTCCCACGGACTTTGGAAGGTTGCTTTTTCGTTCGTCCGGATACTGCTTCCTTGACCGGAGCTTCGTCTTCGTCTTCGTCGTCGGCGTCATCGTCTTCTACGTCGACGTGGTCCGGCTTGCTGGCACCACCTTCACGGCCGCCCACATCACCGTCACCGGTCGGCCTCGAGCTATTGTAGCGGCAGACAATACGCTCCACGCATCGAGCTGATTCCGCAACCCCGCACAGATCAAGTCTCCGTTCCTGCATGGCCGCGCCTGCTCCGTCACCTTCGCTGGTCGCCCGCAAGCTGTTGAACCGGCAGACGATACACTCCACGCATCGAGGGGATTCCGCAACACCACCTACATCAGCCCTCTGATCCTGCATGGCAGCGCCTGCCGCAGGTTGGCGACACGGCACGCTGCCCGCTGGTGCGGCCTGGCTAAGCGCAAGCCTTGACATGTGGTTCGGCCGGTGCATTGACACCCCGTCGTCAAGGACACTGGCATGCATTGTCTGCGTGCTCGCACCGCCACCCTGTCCACTCCGCTGGACGAGGACCGTTCTAGAAACGTCCATGGTGGCCGTCGGTGATAGTTGCAAATCGAATGGATGACGGCCTCTGCCCCGCGTTTCGCCCAGCAAAGCGTACATCGGACCCACACCCCCTCCGGTGCTTTCAACTCGCGGTGGTGTGTCGTAAGACGTCTGTGTCGACCCCCATGCGAAACCCAATGTCGACGGAGGGGGCGTCCACGTCGTGTCATCAGGCAAAGGCTGCTGGTGAGGAGGGAGATGCGAATACAAATTTGGATCAAACCTGTGGTGGAGATTGTGTTGCATTCCACTCTCTCCCCCGTACGCCCCCCTCCCCATCCCAAAACCCTCACAACCCCGACTGTATTCGTCCCCCATCCCTTTGCTCCCCGATGCGCCTTGTCGAAGCGTCTTCAACCCCTTCCTCCTTCCACGCCGAATGCAAGCACCAGCCAGGTGGCACGCGTGCAGAGCTATGAGCAGCACCACCGCCCCAATCAGGATAATTAGGAGAGCTAGCTTCCTCACCATGTCAGCCATGAGCGCCTGCAGCCAAACACGACACACAGATCTGCTACCTTTCGATGACGACAAAGCGCGGTAGCAGAGGAGTGCAATATAGCGGCTCGCGGAAAAGGCCCGGCAGGCGACGGGCAGCGCATACCACCCAATTCGAAACAGACGCCGCCAACGGCACTCGCGCGCCCGCCTCCGCGGTGACCCCTGCAACGGTCGTCTCCACACGCAAGCCGAAACAGCTAGCCGGAGGTACCGCATGGCCACAGCCGGGCCACGGCGCTGCCCGTTGGAGACTACCATGGAACCGCCGTCCCATGGTGTACCGGATAACCCAGCGTTTGGACCAGGAACGCGAAGGAAACACCTGAGGAAAAAAGAAAACAAAAATGTCGGCGGTTTTCCCGTGGAAAGTAAGGGCGCCACCCCTACTTTCAAGTCACCTCCACGGCCGTTCTTGCGTTTGCGTCCGTTTTGGCTGGGGAGCCCTCATTTTTGTAGGGCTCGCCCTTACGCCCGTGAATGTGAAAACAAATTTCGCATCTTTTTTTTGGTCATTAGGGAGTGGTGGAACGATGCAACCCTTACATGTAAGGGTTTTCTAGTGGTGTCGAACAAGGCCCTAAGTCGGACTTGGGCCCGGAACTCCTCCCCACCAGCAAGGGCGACCATGGAGCGTTGCCTACCGCGGCTACCGGTCTGTCAAATGGTTCAACCGGGGCGTGGTCCCACTAGCAAAGAGGATCGGATAGAATCCTGAATCTGGCCATGTTGTATGCAGAGATACAGAAAAGCAGTTACTCGATTTCCTGCTCTTGTCCTCGGACACGTCCAGATTCAGGCATTCAATCCGATGCTCTCTTGCTAATGGGACCACGACCCCGATATTGGAGGTGGTGAGGGAGATGTGCAGCTTGGGAGAAGCTCACGGGTAGACCCTTCCCCCGACTACTGTCTTCCCCCGAACATAACGCACACTCATTTTGCCTCTACCGGACCGGAAAGATAGCTTGTATACACTGATGATCAGGGTGCCTTATGTTCGGGGGGAGACAGTCGTAAGACTTCTCTTGCAATGTGCCGCAAGTGCAGCCACTCGGGAGCAAGACCGGCCGGCGGGCAGGGCTTGAAGCGCACAGAACGAAAAGGATTGAGAACGGGCGTGGGCGCACAGAACGAAAAGGATTGAGAACGGGCGTGGGCACACCACTCTTGGAATGGGGAAATTTTTGAAGAGCTGTCAGGTGTTCTCAAGAGTTGGGTTTTGAAGAGCTATCGGCCCCTCGCCACATTGAGTTAACTGAAAGCGTGAATGTGGGCATGTTCGTAGAGATGTGCGGTCGAGGAAAGTCAACGCCAGCACGGCAACAACCTGGTTGTTTTTTGTGTTTTTTTTCGTATTTCGTTTTTCCATTCGAAGGGCAAACTCACAGTACTAGCACGGGTTTTGCAACAACCTGGAGCCAAGTCCCACTAGCAGCGTTGGGCTACCTCAATGCCTGAATCTGGACGTGTTTGTGGAGAAGTGTAGTTGAGGAAACTCAACACCATGTCTGCACATCTCCGCAAAAGCGTCCAGATTCAGGCGTTGAGGTAGCTCAACTCTGCTAGTGGGACTTGGCCCCTGGTTGTGTTTTGTGTTTTTTTTCGTTTGTCCCTTTCCGATGTCGAGGGCAAACTGCTGGCCTCACCCTTTTTTGGGTTTGTCTCTTTCCGATGTCGAGGGCAAACTGCTGGACAAGTGATGCTCTGCACAAGTGCTTCTTCACGGCCACAACCAAAGAATGTCGACCCCGGAAAGAGCAAATAAAATAACGATAGTCAACTTCCGAGCACAAGCAACTCCTCCCGGAAAAACAATTAGTGCATCTTCCCACACAGAAGGGAAAGATGCATCCGTTACTTTGACAGCACACCATCTGCTGTGCACACCTCCAAACCCACTTTGGCCCGGCCTTCCCAATCCGAAAATCGCACCCTCGCCGCCCGAAATGGAAAACCGGCCGCCGTCCATGAAAACGGCCCGCCGACCGCTTTTCGTGACCGCTGGTCTGCCCCCCTCCAACCGCACTCGCGACCACCCGGCCTACCGGTCTCTGCCCCGACAGCGACCGCACCCTTCAATTACCCGTGTTTCCGCCCTATAAACCCCTTTCGCCGTCGTCGGCATTTCCTGAAAATGACTTTCTTGCTACGCGACAAAGTGCAAGCGGTATAGCGCAGCCTCCTGGCTGCGAACTGGGAACCTGGAAGACGTCCACTGGGGGAGGAAGCTCTTTGACACCGCAAGATTGGAAGTACTACGGTACCGTAGTGGTGGCAGGGAGAGGCAGATGCGCCTTCGAACGAAACCAACACATGTTTGGAATTATTCAAGCCAGAGAACACATCGCAGACTATGTGAAGTCAAACATACAGACATCATACATGTCTACCGACAGGATTTTATTTATTTATTTTATTTTATTTTTAATTACCTCTATCTGCAGGCCTCCGAGTCCGAACAATGTGGTTGAACCTCACCCTGAGGTCTCCGTGGTGGTAGGCCCACCATCGATGAATTCTATTGGCGTTGAGGAGCGTTACAGGCCTCCTGACTTCGTGGAGCCTTCTTTTTTTTTTTTTTTTTTTTTAAGTGTCGGGAGTGCTGCAGGTAGTGGTGGTTTTGATAGCAATGCCGCTCCAGCAGCACGTGCTCGGAACGTGGTGGGATCCCGGCCCAGCGTCGCTCCTAAGGCTTATGAAAATGAACAGAGCAATTTGAGATCATGAACTTCAAGATCCTTTTTTGGGCCAACTTGAATGCTGGAAAACGGATCCAGCGTCCCTTTAGAAAGCACAAAGCTTTTCTTCTTCCTACTGATCTTTTACTTTTCTTTTTTCTTTTTTTAATTTTAATGCGTGTCATCCTTGCGCAGGGGCCATGCTAATCTTCTCTGAACCGTTCCAATTTTAACGGATGTCCCGAAGGACCCTTCCTACTAATCTAGATGTATGACAGACAAAGCAATATTCAAGAACTCAAACAAGACTTTGAAGGGGAATGGCTGGGGACAAGACGGAGAGTAGCGGAGACAAGAAGTTATATAAGAAAGGATAAGAATCTAGATGTACAACACAAACACAGCCAATCTCAAGAACTCGAAGAAGACTTCGGAGGCAAATGGCTGGGAACAAGAAGGAAAACAGCGGACCTATGTAGGGAAACCATAAAATGGAAGAAACTGAGGCAGAATAAACAGGAATGGACGTATAAGCAGCATGCGCATTTCAACATGCCCCCTTCGGCAACACCTCCCTCGTTCACCCAGCTCCCACCACCACAACCATGCTTCCCTTCCCTCTCTCTCCCTCCCCCCACCACCACAACCAA